TCTCTCTCTCTCTCTCTCTCTCTCTCTCTCTCTCTCTCTCTCTCTCTCTCTTTCCCTTCATTTGGCGCAAATGACACGCTCCATAGTGAACCGAAAACACGTCAGAGTACACAGTCTAGTCTTGGATATCGCGATACAAATCTATGGTTCACCCTCTCCTAATTTCCTTCCTCCCCAGGATGGTACACCTTCTGTCAAGCCATGGGCCTGATATCCTTGGTAGTGTTCCTACCAGCCCTGCTCATCAACTTTTTCTACACCATGCACCCCAAGATGAAGATGTTCCGGGGAATGAGATTTTTCAATTTCGTTCTCACTTTTGTCACAGGTGAGTTCGAGAACATAATTATGTATTCTTGATGAGCATATTATGGCGAAAGGTGAATATAAGCGTTGCAAGCAATGCTTGTCCTATCTTTTTTGTGTTCATTCTTGAACATACTTTAATTAATGAATTAATAATAATAATAAATACTTATTTACATGTACATACTTGGTTGGATAAGAGGCATCGCTGAAGGCAGCACAATGCCATAGCTGCTCCTATTCCTCTCCAGGAACCATGAAAGGGTCTGCTTGCTGATCGTGCCAGTTATCACCTGGTTGGATATTATTTTGGCTTTTCCACGCGGGTTGCTCTCTCTCCCCAACCCTCTAGAGACACCAGCTTCCCTCAGTCTTTCCATTGTGTGTGATGTTGTGCCTTCATCTTCTCTGTGGTCGTTGAATCATTCTGCCATGACTGTTGGTGGATCTAATAAAAATCTTATAATAATAAATAGCATTTGTATAGCGCATTTCCCCGCTCAACAGCAAGCTCTATGCGCTTTACTACAGTAGACCATTGAACACTCAGAAACATTCTCAGCTTCCCGGGAAGCATACAGCGCAAGCAACTGAAAAAGCGCTCAAACACTAACAAACTGACAAGATCTTTCATTGTCTATCGCTGGGTACCCATTCCCACATGGGTGAAGTGAGGAAAAATCGTGTAAAAAGTGCCTTTCCCAAGGACACAACATTAAAGACTTTTTTGGTTTTTCAACAATGTAAGAACGAATCTATCAAATTAGTTTTAAAAGCAAACGCTGCTGATTGATATTCGCCCATCAGTTACATTGTATTCGGGTCTATCATCTTGTCTAAACTACACACAATGACTCAGCGAACGGGATAGAGCGCTATATAATTAATGTGTCTGTCTGTCTGTCTGTCTGTCTGTCTGTCTGTCTATCTGTCTGTCTGTCTGTCTGTCTGTCTGTCTGTCTGTCTGTCTGTCCGTCGGTCCATCCATCCATATATCCATCCATCCGTCTGTCTGTCCGTCTGTCTGTCTGTCTGTCTGTCGATAATAATAATGATAGAAATATTATTATTATTATTATTATTATTATTAAATAATGATAATGACAATAATAATAGTAATATTATTATTATCATTATCATTATTACTGTTTTTGTTACTTCGGCAATACATATGTGATATAGCCCAGCTGACATGGCGATAAGATGCTGATCAGTAACTTTGATTCTCCTCCCCCCCCCAGGTCTGGTCCCGCTACTGATGGTCATCGTGTGGATCGCTGGACATCCCATGAAGGACCGCTTCCCCATCCCCTACAGGGATAAGGACTACGACGACGAGCCTTTCATGATCCATTTCTGCTTTGTCTTTGAAATATTCGCTTTCATCATTTCGTTTGCTGCATTTGGCTTGGAAGTTCATGACTATAGAAAGAGTGATTACGGCAACTAGATCTAGATTCTGGGACGTTGTACGGTCTTCTTTTTTCGGGGGAAGGGGGGGGGGGGATTTGGGGAACCTTTACATGTTGACTAGAGAGCTGAGAATAGGTTGTACACTGTTTGAGCACTTTTTGCCTTGGAGTTCTGATCTTCCTTTGCCTCAGCCCCTGAAGTAAGACATGAAAGTTTGAATATGATGATGATGCTGTACATCGAATGAATTTTGTCAGAGCTGTAGGGATTCTTGCTTTCCCTTCTCGTATAAACTGGTGATTTAAGAAACGAATATTTTGTGGCGTAATTAGAGCGGGAAAAATGAAAAAACACCTCGTTGAAATGATTCCTTGTATATGTATAGACCTCTTGCTATATTTATAGACATATCAAAATTTCTTATACTTTTATTATCTTTCATATTTTCCCCCTTTTTTTTTTGGTAAGCTCAACTAGCCAAGCAGGGTACTGGAGATTGCAAAATTTGCTGCTGAGAAAGCAAACTTTTCTTTTGGCTTTCTCTTATCTTAAGCTCCATGTATGTAGTCGGGCCTATCATCTGCTTGTCATAGGGGTGTTTCACAATGACCATTTCATGATTTCGGCTTCTTGTCTTTGCTATCAAGACATCGACAAACATTTTTTCAGAGGCGCGTAGACTTTATCTTGTTAAATTCATGAAACTTCTAGCATGATTTTGAAATTAAAAAAACAACAACAAACGAGTTCAGTAAGTCGCGTTCTGGCTTATTATATATCTAGTAGTAAAAACATACATGTGGGCTCTAAGTCTGTTATTCAAAAGGGGGCGACGTAGTGAAACAAAACACACACAAAAATGATCGTGAGACTTTTTTTTAGACATCACTTAATAGAATAAGACAGACAGTGAACTTTTTGTTTTATGACAACAGGCTACTTCATTCAAAAAGGCTGACTGATATTGACAGGCCACTTCTTCGTTTTCATGAAGATTGATGAAGTTTTGTACGATCGTCTTAATAGGCCTGTCTTGTCTGGGTGAGGTGCCTTTTCTTAGATTTCTTAAATTCAAAATGGCTTATCTGTTTTTGACTGTTTTCTTGCAGTCCGTTTAAAGTTCAACTGTTTCTATACAAATGAATGAGGCGTTACAATAGGCAGCATATCTTCAGCTTCGTGGTCTGAGATGAAACACCATCCACATAGAGGCTGAAGAACGTCAAGTGAAAAACGTCATCATGATCATTGACCCCTTTTTATAAAATACCTGCAAAATTTGTCTTACTTCGTATACTTTTTCTCTTTTGTTCTCTGTAATAATAATGTACTGACTGACAGAATATTTGTGCTCATGAGAATAAGAGAGGCCTAACACCACTTTTAGAGAGAAAAACCGATTTTTTTTTTCGGAAAAAACCCCCAACAGAACTAAATGTACGTGTAAATGAATTCAATTTATGTACCAACAGCGAGAAAGGTTTTAAAAAAAACCTACTAAGGAATTATAAATTATACCTTTATCTGATAAAGCACTCCATAAAGCTTTACTTTATTCTCATGTGTGTTGTGACCAGCGATATTTGCAACACAATTAGTTTAGGTCACTTTTAGTGCTGAAGATTAGTCGGAGGCGTTGCTCTATTATAGTAACATACAAAGAACAGAAAGGGGAGAGATAGGATGATGAATAAAGCTTGATACGAAATGTGGAGCAAACCACACCACTCCACAGCATCCACCAACCACCCACAAAGTGGAGACAGACCGCTCTAATTCTCAGGAGAACATTAACATTTGTGAATGAAGACCCTTATGTTCTATTTTTAAATCTCCCCCAATTGTTGTTATCTTTTATTCAGCAGAATCTGAGGAGATGTCAATGTCATATTCGTTGAGTAGATCTACCACTAGTTTTTTATTTTATTTTTGGTTTAATCTTTTATTTTTCATACTGTTGAAACATGTACATGTATTGACATTTCAGTTTGTCTCTGAAAGATGATCATGTAATATGCAAAGTTGTTTGTCCTATACATGTATTAATTTGTTTGGGTTTTAAAAAAGTTTTTTAAAATCTAGTTTTATATCTCCGTAAAGAACCATAGACACAGACCTACATGTACCATTTTATGTACCGGTAACATTTTTATGACCTTGCTAAATTTCAATTTCGTCTGTTTTCGTAAAGGTAAATTTTGAAAGGGAATTTTGTACATACATACATATATATTTTTGTGAGCCACACAAATACAATAGGCTAATTTCTCAAAATTCGATCTATGTCAAAAAAATATATAAATCGTATTGTTGTGTTACCATAGAATCAATACAAAGCTGTTACCTTGGCACCTTTGTGTAGATTCATCAACAAGAAATGCTAAGTCTTCGACTTCTCTGGTCTATGGGTGCGCCCCCCCCCCCCCACACACATTATTCATTTGAATAGAAAAACTTTGTTTTGCGGGAAGGGGGATAAAGGAAAGGTAAAAGAAATAATATTATCACCACTGTGTACTTAAATGATTGATGTGTTACTAACAATTAACATTCACGCTGTGTCGTTGACGCCCCAGTGCGATAGACTATGTCAGGCAGCTATCTTCTCAAACGAGGCTAAAAAAAAGTGTGTGCGCTGCCGCTTCTCGTATCGCATAGTTATGAGGGAGGCTGCCCAGTTTGTCACAGGCCCAGTTTATCACAATTTCATTTAAGCATTTGAGTATTGATGGCAGTCGTAATTACAGCACTTTAACACTTTACATGTAGTTTTCACTGAAGTTTTTTAAATTCTCCACCTTCAAATTGATGGTGTAAAATGGTCTCTAAAATGTCAATTTAGCTTGTATTGTTCAATATTTCTTCCTTCTTGTATGCAAATCAAAACAAAATTAAATTACTCTGCAAAATTTCAACATTGAATGTTCTTTCGTTAAAAACAATTGAAAAATTTAATTCAATTCATACAACCAATCAATCATTAATTTACTCTTTTTGAGAGTGTCAGTGATAACTTCCATCATGCAGGGCACCGTCGAGGCCTGTGACAAACTGACATGCTTCCTGTATCGTATTGAACAGTTATGAGTAGCCTACGTTGTTGTACACCATCTTTATATTTGGGGTGTCGTGTTCCTTTCTTTGTGAGTTGGCTTGTGTTTGGATAATCTGACAACACGATATATTTGATCTGACCACACACTACATACTACTACATATATATATGATTTAGAAAAGACTATAAGAAGGATAGATCACTTGGCTTTTCTCTATTATATAAACACACAATTTAGTGCAGGGCATATTGTATTTTGATAAATTTAATATTGATAGTGATACATGTAGCATCATAAAGTTTAAGTTATCGAATTGTGCATTATATGCTAAGAATGCACTTTTAAATGTTGTATTGGCAACTGGCTTCCATTTCTCTGCTACTTTTTCTGATACTAACATTAGCCCAGTGATCACGGAAGTACTAAATGGAATAAATAGATCACCTAAATAGAGTAGACATAAAGACAAAATAAAGCAAATTGCAGGTATATTACACATTTAAATGTAGGCGGTTCAAAGAATAATTTTTTGAAAAAAAAAATGTATGGTGATACATGTATTTTGCGTTTCTCAGATCCTAGTTGCTGCTGGAAAGGCTTGATTAGCAAGAAAAAAATGTATCTCTGTACAGAAATTTCAAACTCAGCCGTACAAGGAAGGAGCAGAAAAATCAGGGATGTTGAAAATAAGATGAACCACATGTACTGTACTTGTACAAAATTATGTTGGTCAAAATTTCTCTGAATTTCCCCCCTTTTCAGAATTTAGATTTCACATGCCGTAACATAGTCTGTCCTCTCGCACTGTCTGCTGATAAAACATATCTCACAGGGACCATCTGTACAAAACAAACCATACTTTTTTGTATTGCTTCCTGTTTGTTGTATGTTTTTCATAATGCATACAGCTGCAGCATATGTTATGTACAAAAACAAACTGCTGAAAAGTGTAAGCATAATTTTTGTGAGACTAATGTTTGTACAATTTTATATAATGTATCACGAAAAGATACATGTACAACATACATCTATATTATAACATTGAATTAGTTATATTGTATATATTATTTTCTTTTGTGTCAATGTGTGAATGTGAACGATAATTCAACATTATTTCGGGTTATTGCTGTTTTTGTTTTTGTTTTCAATTTGGATGAGTTTAAAAGCCCGGCTGCTTTTTGGAAAAAAAACCCTGAAGGAAAAGGGAAATCTGTTCCCCCCAAAAATTATGTGTACAGTGACTTAATGGTGTGCCAAATTTTGTTTCTTTTTGGGGAAACATTATATTGTGTAAGGAGGAAACATGATGGCCGAGTTTGTGAAATATTGGTCAGGGACAGTTTCTGTGTGGATTTTTACTAATCACTGTTATGGGTGTACCGGCATGCACACATATATACATGTAGTTAAGTACATTATTGAATTTGAGTGACATCAGGATGGCTCACTTTTGCCCTTTTGGGTGGATACTGTATACTGTTGAGGCATTTTGTTAATTTAGTGTACGTTGCACCACCAAAGGATTTCGGGGAGGTTCATATATCCTGGTCCCAGGGATTCGATGGACGTGGTCTACTTAACGAGATGCCAGTTCACGTGTAACGTTTAGACGATGTCTGACTATATTTCAAGTACAAACAGTCAGTAGACCTTACAACCAATTTTTAAGGATAAGAAGACACTGTCAAAAAGACATGCGTTCTTCTTTCATCTTAAACTTAAACACCCCCCTCCCCCCAACGAATCCAATGTTTGATAGAAGTAGAAGAGAAGCAGCAATCCACACCAGAGCACCCTCCAATCCAACCATCCAGAAAGTAGACTAGGTGTGAGTGCACTAGGTTTGATTGCTGGATATTTGGGAGTATATCAGGAATTTCTATGTCGCAATAGTATGTCCTTTACTGTTACTGTTAGTGTTTGCAAAGGCACGTATTGTACTCACAACAAACACATACATATAAATGTTCGCAACAGTTTACTCAGTGTAAAGGTTCATTCCATACAAGTTCTTCACATTCAGAGCCAATTGTATATATACACTTTTTTTTATATTACTCAAGTCGACTGTATAGGATCAATAAAGTTTTTCTAACATGTTATCCAATCGCGTTTTGTTTGTTTGTTTTCAGTTTTTTTTAAAGCTTTTTTGTGTAAAACTTGAATTATACATAAAGATCTTATATAACTCTTCTTATCAACAATAATGTCCGCTTCAAATGGCAGAAGGGGCTACTTGCTATGAAAAAAATCCAGAACCTTTTGGGCACTATGGAAACACACGCGTTGGGATTAAAAATGTACCAATGTCTAATTTCTAATACAATGTACTTGTACATGTATCAAGAAGTCAGAGGCAAAATCCGCATTACATGCATTTTCAGAAATCTGGACGTCTGCATTCATCCAGAAAATCAGCACCCCTGAAAGTGAAAGCAACTTACCTCTTTTAGTTCATCACATTATGATGTAGGCCTATATATTGACTTTTGGGCACGTCCTAGACTTGGCAGCACAGTGCTGGGGCGACAAACAACAATGGAGAAGTTATGAATTCGATTCCCAACTTTTCGCATTAGAAATTTGTGTCCCAGGGAAATATATTTTTTCCGAGTGGTGACAAACGGCTACACAAACAAAAATTTAATTAAGGAAGCCATATTCTGTTTAAGTTTAAGTAAATATTTCAAATCGGACAGACCACCCCCACTTTTAAAGCAAAGCAAAAAACCTATTCCAAGGGACATTTGGGCTTAGGTCGTGGCTATTCACAGCAGGAATCATTTCAACTTCAGAAAGACATCTAATTTGACATAAATACACATTTAACACTTCTTCCAAGGCTAAAAGGTTACCTAGTACTAATAGCAAAAGCCCACTGCAGAAATTTTGTCAAATCCCCATTTTGATGGCTGGATGCAAGACTGACAAAAACAATTGGCATTTCATGAGAGGCTTCCACCCATTCATTGATAATCGATTTGATACGGATATGGTATGACCCATAACCTCTTTGGGTAAAGCCAACTTTTCCATTTTCTTTTATGGAGGGGAATATGATACTATTGTAGCACTATTATTGTTACATTGTACAGTATCTGAAACACCAAAATAAAAGGTCTAATTACTCATACTCATTTGCCTAGGTTGCAACAGCGTGCATTTGATGAAAATCATTTCCCCAAGTCCTGTCCGAGGGCTTTCATGCGTCACACGATATGATGTAGCAGCATCCAATCTTACATTATTATTTGCACATAGAATTAGAATTTTTGTGGTGAGACTTCTTGGTCTAACTTGAGAAAGCAAGCAGTTCGGCATCGTGTGCACAGACCCGCACCATTTCCCTACCCAACAAAGCAGAGATACAGATCAGGCCCTTTTAATTTTAAGACTTAGCAAGTAGGTATTTTTACCTCCCTAAAAGTTTAGATCATTAAGGAAGCTGGCTTCAAACCCTGCCTGTCAGGGACACATGTACAACATTCAAGCAGAAAGATCGAGATGCTCAATAAAAATTCTTCCCACTTGGGTCTCCTGCTGCCATGGCGAAATGTTTTACTGCTACACCACAGACCCTAGTGGCATGCCATCTAAGACAAACATCCAGTATTCGTTTAGTTTTTTTAGTAAGAGTATTACGGCAATTGCAACACAATAAGATCATATGAATTACAAAGATTAAAAGTTTTGTTTTAGTATTAGTAAAAGTTTTACGGCACTTGAAACACAATAAGGTCACATAAGTGCCGAAGTTTAGAGGCGTTACAAGAGAGTAACAAACAAAATAGGAGGGGAGAAAAGGACGACAGATAGGGAAGAAGGAGCAAACCATACCAGGGCACCTGCCAACCACCCATGAAGATAGAAGTGTTACAACAGAGTAACAAACACAAAAAAGGAAGGGATAAGGACGATAGATGTTTGATAAGAAGGAGCAAACCACACAGAGCACCTGCCAACCACCCGCATCCAGTATTCAATTGCAGTAAAAGTTCAGAGGAGTCAGAAGCCTTGAGGTACAAGACAAATATAAAAAAAAGCAAGACAAATGCCAGGATAGCTTTTCTCTAAAAACATTTTGTTTTAGTAAGAATTTTAGTGTACTTGCAACACACACAATAGGTCATACAAGTGCTGAAGACAAGAGATGCTACAGGAAAGAAACAAAAAAGTAAAAGGACAACAGATGTTTGATAGGAAAAAAAGAGCAAACCACCCAGATCACCCATCAACTACCCACCCCCTATAAACAATGCAAACACACAAATAAAAATAATGCACCAACAAAAAGATTGGATATAATATATTGAGAAACATTTAATAGATCTGAATCAATGTGTGATGAATGACAATACATTAACTACAAAAAAGATGAAATATCATTTGTACATTTTTATTTACAGTCTCAAATCTTGTTGAGTACAGATCACTTGTAAGCCAAACCCAATCCAGATGCTGAATTCATCCATAATCCCATCAGCATAGTTTGACCCCCATATCTTGGTTCATTCTTTGAAGTGTGCTACACAAGCCGAAAATAAAAAAATAATTGTGCAAACATTTATTTGGCTGAAAAAGGGGGGATGGGGGAACTCATTTCATTGTTCTCTTGAAAAGTTTACAATATCGTAGTCACATATAACCAGAAATTATACATCATTATTTGCCCACTGATATTCTGTAATGTCATCTGCCATGACTCTGTGTGATACCTATAGCTGCCTACTAAAGGAAAACAAAAGGAGAGCAACATCCCGCATGACAAGTCATGATGGTGGGTATTGAACAAGTAACACCCCCCCCCCTTCCAGACTTTGAGCCCACGCATATTTCCCCCCCCCCCCCCCCTTCTCTCTCTCAAAACGCATTGTTTGGCATTTTAAAAAGTCCATGCTCAATAGCTAGTTAGGGTAGGGTTAAGGACACAACTGCAATAGACATGGACTTCCTTCTCATTGTTTGCAAACCCAGTCTTGAAAGTTCATAACTTTTCTTAACCATTGGCAAGTCTGTGAGAAACAAAGCTAGAAAATAGAATAGGCTACATACGTTTCCAACAAAACTTTTTGACACCAAAGGACAGGCAGCAAGAGTGTCTTATATCATCCATTTAATTTTCTCACAAATTGTACATTTCGACAGAAAACTGTACCACGCAGCACAGCCTACTCAATACAAACCAATTTTCTTTATCCCTGAACAACAACACACACCCAAAAAAAAATCCCCTTTGTTCTACACCAAAAACAGAATGTTGTCTGAAAGCATGACTTGATTTTCGTCCTGCATTCTGTCGATGGCAGCCATCATTTCCTCCTCAGAGAAAGGACTGTCCCCGTGTTCTGACGCCATATGTCCTCTGACAGAGTTGAGAGCTACCGACTGTGCTCGTTCTTTCTTGAACAGCTGGTTCAGTGATGTGCGGAATACTTTCAACCTGAAACAAAGGACAGATTACCTTGCATATGTTTTTTAAAAGTACGGCATTTGCAACACAATAAGGTCATCGGAGTGCCGAAGATTTGAGGTGTTACAAGAGAATAACAAACAGGAAAGAAAGAAAGAAAGAGAGGAGATAAAAAATGATAGATGTTTGAAGGATAGAAGAAGCAAACCACTCCAGAGCACCCCCCTCCAACCACCCACTTACATAATGTTTGTTTCTTTGAGATAAAAGCACCTAGACACAATAAGTACCATTTAGTGTTAGGAAAAAATATGACAAAATGAATGCAAAGACAATAATAAACACCTAGCCATAAAACTTCAAGAACAATTGAGAGGCATGTTTGTTTCAGTACAGTATGTCACAATACACATGGTCACGATCCTGTACCCATGTTATAGCCAAATCCTGTAATTGAAAAGGGATCAAATTTACGCATTGTAGCTAATGGTGAACAAATGGGTTCATTTTTATTACATACTGACATAGATTACTTGGTCTCTTTCTTTTCCAGAGATTTTCTTTCCCTTCCATTTTCTAGTATATATATTTTTTTTATTCAGTCTCATGGAGATTGACTCGATATGTGAGATGCACAGGTAACAAAATAAATGGTGTAAGTAGCCCAAATCCATGCTCTATAGTCCACACTATGCATGCTCTGTGCGCTTAACAACTATTCATAACTGAATAGTTGCCACCATTAAGAAAAGGAAGGCACACATACATATCGCAACCTCAGAGCTTTCCTGTCCTATCTCCATTTTTTTTTTTTTTTACATTGAAAATGTGATTTCTTCTTTAGCCCACTCTTGTTAAGAACTGTTTTCACTGTTATTAAAAATGGAGATAGGAAAACAAAACACTGAGGTCTCGATACAGTAGATCTAGCGCCCAGTGTCTTCGTTGCATTCAATAACATCATTCCTGTTACATGCTTCACCACACTATGGTGAGACAATACGGGGGACGTTGTGCTAGACCAAGGTCACCTGAAGTCAATGATTGAATTTTCATCAATACTAAAGGGTAGGGGGCTCTCGCGGCCTAGAGGTTACTGTGTCCACCTCTCATTCAAAGGTCCCGGGTTCCAATCCAAGTAGCGACCGAAATTTTTCCCTCTCTAAAATTATCTTTCACCTCCTTCCTGCCCTCCAGCAATGTTCTGTCGTCTGTTTTCGTTTCCATTTCCTGCGTCCACCCACTTTGCCCCCTCCTCTGGGCTCGTGACTCTGCAGCCTTTCTACTGCTACTCCTTGGCTCCTCCTTACTGCTGTTTTTCAGCCACACCCCTGATCTTCTGGTAGGAAAGATCTACACCTAGCCTTCTCGGACAAGGGCGACGAATATCAGAGGTCCTGTGTGCAAGTTGTGCACGTTAAAGATCCCTTGGTGGTCTAAAATCAATAAAAGTAGGCTTCGCCGACATCCTGGCAAAATTCAAAAATTCCTACCAACTGAAAATATTTAATGTGTCCTGCGCGCTCATATGACCTTATGCAGTTGCTCACCCCGTAAAACACTTATCAACCCCCCCCCCCCCCCAAAAGCATATCCAGCTTTCTCCCTCCATTCTCTGCACACACGAATGTGACATATAAAGAATGGGTACATAATCAACTTCTAAGGTCTACTGTGGGTCATGCAGGTGCAAGTCACCATGTTGGATGTTATTTTGCTTCATCATTTTCTTTCTGCTGTCTTGTCCATTTGTTTTCAATCAGATTTAGTCAATGGTTGAATTTTTGTTACAGCTGAGTACGTCTGTCCGAATATCTGCTGCTGTGAAAGAGCTATCATTAAAGACCGGACTCTAGGATTTATTGTAAGCCTGCTATTATCAGAATCCCTTCATAATCGGGATTGTTATAAATAGGGGTCACTGTAGCCAGTTCCCAACTCCAGACTCAAGACAGGTGTAGGAACCCTGCTTACCTGTCATCAGTTATTTCTGTGGAAGCTGGGGCTTGTGGAGTTGACGGAGCCGAACCGGACGCTCGCCGTTTTCTTCTTTCTTCCTCCAGTGTAGGTTGATCTGTAGAATTAATCAAACACCCAGTCAATTACTGCAAGTTTTAAAGCTTTCAAAAGAGGTTTTTAACTCCATGTTAGTACCAAATAAGGTAAACAAATTGAAGAAGTGTAAGGAAAACCAGCTCAATAACAGTCATTTTAGTCAAAGAAGCATAAAGACAACAGAAAAATTAGACCCCCACTGTTAAATAACACAATCATACATGTAGAACAGCCCAGTTGAGAGACACACAAACAACAACAATACCCAACAGAGTGGGGGACAATTAACACCCCTCCTGCCCCAGCTATCAACACAAGGATGAAGTTTATTTTCATAAAGACAAGAAAGCATACCTTCCACTTCCTCTCCAATCTCCTCAATATCGTAGGGGTCGTAACCTTCCTCCCCTTCTTTCCGAGCTTGACGCTTGCCTCGTGGGGTCCTCCTACGACAAAACAGTTCAGGAGATATATTAAGTAACTGAAGTAAACACAAAAAATCTAAAAATATTACACATTAGCAACAGGACAAAGTAAACTTTTTATAAGGTTTAGTGTGTTAAGTACCCCTCCACCCCCCACTTCATCCTTACAGTTAAAAAGTGCAGCACATTGAAGATGTGCTCATATATCTAAAATGAATTAAAATATGTGAGGACTACAGACAAATAACCTGCAAGATATAATTCTAAAATGTGACTTGTCTCCTCACCCTTTCCTTTAGTCTTCATATATGAAATGAAATGACTACTTACTGCTTCTTGCGTGGTGGACTGTTCTCCTCATCTTCATCCCTTTCTTCCTCTTCCTCCCCTTCACTGTCTTGGGACTTCCTCTTCGTCTTCTTCTCTTTCTCCAGAACCTTGGAAACAACGTAAGAAATCAAAAGTCAAAATTCGATAGTACAGAATCCAGTTTGTGAACAGGTAAGTGCACAGCCAAGCCTGCCTATTCCAGTTACCCAAGATCACAGAGAAAAGTGAGAAACATTTTTACAAATATTCTTTCCTCTTTTATGAGAGGGGAGGGGGGAAGAGAAGACCACTTAACAGCCTTATCTGATTTACTCTGAAAGAAAAAAAAGGCACTCATGCCGGCATAACACCAACTGAGCTATTTGTGTGCCCTTACTAAAAAAAAATAAAAAAATTTTTTTTTTTAATTTAAAAAAGAGAGAGAGAGAGAGAACAAAAGTACAGCACAATAATTAAGGGACAAGTAATAAAAACCTGTTCATTTCTAAAGAAGGATAAAAAGAAATTTACATCTCATTCCATTTTAAAACACGGGCTGCTCTGAACTCACGAAATAACACCTTTTGCCTGAAGAAGTGATTTTTTTTTTACACTATGTGACTACAGCAACCAGCCTCAAAGGCCTACAACGTGACAATCAAAGCAAGAGGAAGACAGAGGACAAAGTGGGATCGACAGTCAAAGAGATACTACAAGAGACACATATGGGCCATGTCCGACAGTTACATCTACCCTTGACATCTTGCAGTACAAGAGGAAAGAAAGTGTAAAAATCAGTAAAATAAGTACAGTGTGATCCACTTATCCGAAAACAGCAGTAAGCAACAGCAACAAAAATCTGATGGTTGTTCCTCTCTTCCATTTGAGCAACCTATCTAAACTGTAAATCTGGCTACATCAAAGAAAAGACCTCGGTCCCGCACATTTCAGTTGAGGCAAACTCCACTGCATTTTAAAAACAGAACAAAATAAAACAACAACACACACAGGAACAAACAAAAAAAAGCCTCAACCAACCCACAGTTCTCAAACACGAACCTTTTTAAAGTAAGCAAACTGCACCAGCTCCACGGCTGCCTGAGCGTCCACCAGCTCCACAGATTTGCTCAGCCTGGCTTTGGCGTGGGCGGTCGACAGGCGGATGATGGTCTCCAGGGCACGAGCCGTCACAGGTTGAGTCTTGAGAGAGAAAAAAGCGAAACAAAATGACAATGTTTCCCACCCTCATCAGCACTCTTCAAATCATTCAGAGGGCTGGCTACTTCAACCTTAAAAGTCAAAGCGAACTTTGTTTTGTTTTTGTAATATTTTACGGTACTTGCAATTGCATAAGGTCATGTGAGCGCCAAGGGGTGGATGTCAACAGAGAACTCCATACAGGGAATTCGGCTTACCCTGCTCACCTCTCTAGCCTCAACAGCACAAAGTTTGCTTCGACTATCAAAGCACCCAGGAAATAGCAGTTCACAAGAGAGTGACAAACATACAAAAGAAGAAGACGAAAAACGACGATAGTAAGAATGAGAAAAGAAAAGGCAGCAGTTCCCCCTATGTTGTTCCGGCACAGTATGAGCATGACATTGATAAATCAGCCCATTTATAATTCTACTGTGCATAAAAACATGTTAATATCCCCCCTTTGGGAATGGCCTAGAGACACTTCAGTCAGTGGCACTTCAACCCTAAAAGTCAAAGCGAACTCAAAACTAGATGGATACAATATCCAAACAAATAGACAGATACACGATTAAAAATGATGTGCTTAGTTTGGGGAGACATGGAAATAGCTGAAATCAACATGCAATCCAAAAGAAAACATTCTCCTAAAAAGAGAGGAGTATGGGAAAAAACCCAAAACAACAAAAGGAAATTTACAAATCAGTTTGCATTGTACATCTTGCAAGTCAAGACTTTATATGAAGTGCAACTCAACAATTGAACTGAAGTCAGGCAAAATCAGGAAATTCGGCACCTGTGATGGGAATTCAAGAGTGCAAATATAACAGTAGCAGAAAACGCCAAAAGAACTGCAGATCTGACAATTCACTCTTTTTGCAACCCAAATTAAGTGCAAAATGCACAAGATGAATCTTTCAAACACGTTAGAAAAAGAGAACACACTAGGAGCAGTCTTTCACACATACCCTGGCAATGTGGTCTTGAGTCAAGTTGTCCTGGTTTCTTAGTTTGGCATACTCTTCTGCAATGAAGTCGGAGGCTGGTCTAGTGAGCTTAGGCTTGAGATACTTGGCGATGTGAATGTATTTCCTCATGAACTGCATGCTCACAATCTTTTCTCTGATGAAGACCAAAGACACATGGGAAATGAATACAGAAAAAAAGAACCCCTACTAAACATTTTTTGGTACATTAAAATGCTAAAAGTGAAGTATATTTCAGGAATATTTTTTTTTCTATGAAAAAAAAAAAGGAAGTGTACTTAACAAAATTATGACTGACACAAAGTCGGCTGCATAAAGTGTACATGAAGCAAAATGTCTCACTCACTATCAACGGATGAGAGAGCTGGAAGGCTCATTCATTTAAGATGGACAAAAATCTATAAAATGTAATTATTCTAAAACCACACACTAGAAAAAGATTTCAACCAGAAAATATTTCATACATGCTACAGTAAATTTTAACTGCAAATGTTGATTAACAGTAGAAAGCAGCGCCCTAACTCATACAGGAATGCCACGAGTAAAATTGTTAAGTTGAAATTAGCAATCAAAAAGATAAGATATAACTAATCTGGGGTACACAGAAAAGAAATGGTGAAATAATGACTTTTGAAACTGGATTTTAGTGTGTGTGTGTGAGGGAGGAAGGGAATCACTCATACACATAGAAAAATTGCACCCCTGATTGATTATCCCTTGGAGTAACTATATAGGGAGAGGCCCTAACGTTGCGTCGCCCGCTCAACAGTTCCAACCAAGTTGAAGCCGAAAGGGCGGAACTTATCGGGCCTGCCGCCATCTTTGTAAGTTCAAAACAATGCAGCGTACGCAGCGTAATCTCCTTTCAAAACAAGCTGCTCGGACTCCATTGTCTCTCAAAATTTCTTTGTCAATGTTAATTACAGCATTATAAGCACTCACGTACAGTTGTAATGTAATAAGGATGTTAACAAATCTTACTTGCATCAAATTACCAGCTCATTTAGTCGAATATTTACAGTAATACGTGTACTATGTATACACATTGTGATGGTAAGATATTCTGTTTTACATGTTTTAGAGACAAAATTGGGATAAGGATCAAAACAAAATTATAAACGGGATGATAACATTTGCTGAGTTTTTGGTAGTCGAACTTCATTATTTTTACAAAAAACGAAGACTTCTTGATAGTAATAATATAATAAGGACAGTAAGAAATCTTACTTGCATCAAATTACCAGCTCACTCAGTCGAACATTTGGTAATACATGTACTATGTATACACATTGTGACGGTAAGATAATTTTTTAAAACTTGTTTTAGAGAAGAAATTGGGATAATAAGGATCAAAACAAAAATATATACGGGATAACAAAATTTGCAGACTTTTCGGTCATAGAACTTCATCAGTGCAAAATGATGTCATCACTGACATTATTTTTACAAAAACGTAGTCTTCTTGACTTTAACTTACAACAGAATATATTTCTAACAAAATTGAAAATGATTACACAAAAGATGGTAGTGAGGGTGGGATGGGATGGGCGAAGAATGAGGAAGGAGAGGGCAAGGCAGATAAGAGTGAAGTATGATGGTGGAAATTACCCCCCCCCCCCCCCCCCAACAAAAACAAGAATAAAACAGCCCCTCCCCCCCACAAATAAAGCGAGGAGGGAGGGGCACCTTTAAAACACCAAGACACTTTATCTAAATTTTACAAAATACTGTTAAGGGTATTGAAAAATTAATAGAGAATTTGAAATGATAGGCTTATAATAATAAGATTTTCAAAACAGATTGCACTAATTTATGACATTTCACTCTTGACAATGTCCCACCCCATGCACAGACAGACGACACATGGCATCAAAAATGTTATTCACACACCAAACACACTTCAATGACATTCTTTGAAGGCACTGTCGAACCTCCGACGAGACTTCAAAAAACAGCAAGGAAGTTACTTTTGACACATTGGAGTCAACAAAGGCACCGATGCAGGTTTCACATTTTCAAATGCTTTGTCAACCTTAACAACACAAAACCAGCAATGTAAGCAACATGCAGAGCAAATTGACAAGTATGCTAGAGTAGATCTGGGCACATACGTGCAGTTATCATCATGGCAAACTGAATTTTCTGAAATCTTTTTTCATTCTGTTTTTACTGTGAGATGCATTTACGGCTAAATCAGAAGGCACTTCGTCATCAAGTTCAGTGCCATTGCTAATTCGAACCCAGGACCTTTGAATGAGAGGCCCACCGGACCCAAACGCTACGCAAACTGCCATTCGGTTGACACTAAGTTTACAACTGAGAGAACTGAGCTGATCTCACAAACATGGCCGACTGTTGTCTGCAGCGGCTTCACGTTACGCGACTCGCGGCCTCTCCTATTATAGTTCCTCCAAGGTTTATCCACTCACCCCCTCCTTCCAGGACCGTGCAGAACTGTATCACGTTTCTCAAAGATGGGCGTCTCTTTTTGGGTGTCAGCTTCTGCCTCCGGGTCCTGAGTAGCCAACATGAAGGTGCTGCTGCCCATGGGCAATACTGCACAAGAAAAGAAAGACACAAGCACTGACATAGTGGTCACATCTTTGTAAACTATTTCACACATTCGCCATCCAAACACTAATTAGTAGACAGAGCCCTAAGGTCAAATCAGTGGTTGAGGTTTTGCCACATTGGAACCCCACAAAGGCTTCAGGATACCCCTAAACTTATGACTATTTATCTTCATTCAGAGTAGTAGGAATCAGAGCAATATAGATTTGTTAGAGTTCTACACTGCAGATGTCTGAAGGATGTATTTCACGTCTTTTGTATCTGTGATAACGACCATCTTTTAAAAAATGAAGAAACCAATGGGGGGGGGGGGGGGGGGGGGGGGGGGGGGGAGCAAAAAAACAACCATACACACATGTTGAAATTCTATGCATTACGGAAAACCACACAATCCTCTTTCGTATATCGTATCACCATGAAGACACACTATGAAAACAAACTATCATGTTGAAGAACAATGTATGGCGTCTTAAGAACACTTACCATCACCATCTTGTTCCCCTGCGGCACGGTAACGATGCATACGCAGGACATGATCAGAAATCTGACGATCCGACTCTGGGTCCATCTGCAGACAATTACAATTTGTTTTAGTAAGAATTTTACAGCACTTGCAATACAATAAAGCCACAAAAGTGTGGAATATTAGAGGTATTACCAGAGAGTAACATACACAAAAAAAGAGGAGAGATGAAAACAACAGATGTTTGATAGGTGAGAAGGAGCAAACCACACCACAGCACCCGCCAACTACCAACCCATCGACAATCAAAAATCAAATTTGTGAACATCTCAAATCATCCACTTCAATCAGTTAAACCACTAATTGATCAGAGCAGAATTTTCAATGAGGAGACAGGCCAGAAGGGAAAGAAACACTACATGCATCGCTGAGGACAGCAATTTAAAAGGACTACACAAACTTCACAGGAAGAATTATGTCATAGAGCTCAGAATAAATAATGAACAATGTCGAACTCTGGGGCTCTTACCGTAGATGAAGACATAAATACTGTAGCATGTAAGACTTTAAGTATTATTGTTTTCTTCAATACTGATCAGTGTTCAGACAACCTTGTGCTTTTTTTTCTCTACCTCTGAAACATTCACCACTAACCTTGTCCAACACAATAAAGAGCAAGTCAAAACGAGACAACAGGGAATCTTGAAGTCCAATATTTTCCATTGGCGTCTTGAACTGGTCATACTGCGAACAAATATTTACAAAAAATTCTTTTATAAAAGCGAACTTGAAAGAAAACATTTACTTTAAAATTGAATAACATTCACAGCACATAATGTCAATGATTTCAGATTATAGTTATGCCAAAAGTCATACGATGAATATCCCACATGTTCTCTACTATGGAAAATACAACCGTGCCTCTATGATCTCAGTGAAGATCCTTCCTTATAAACATGAAGCATGTCTTGAGAATAGGGTATATGATTTGGGGGTGGACATTCCTTTCAATACTTTAAATCCATACACGGGTAAGATGCATGGCTTCTGAATTATACAGGTATATCTCTGTCAGGACAACTACAAGAAATTCTCAATAAAATAAGCTCAAGAATAATTCAGCACGATACCAAATGAGGTACCAGAGAATCTTAATATGTAGGGAAATAAATGGGGAAAAAGGTTAAGGAGCAGTAGGCACACTACAGGCCTTGATACTGTTTGAACTGTATAGGTCTATTGGTGGTAAACAAAATACAAGCAAACTAAGGCTGAGCTTACCCGTCCATACACTGGATTGGCTGCTGCAAGGACACTGCACCTCGCGTTCAGCTTAGCGTGAATTCCAGCCTTGGCGATTGTGACCCGGCCCTGTTCCATGACCTCGTGGATTGCCGTCCGATCAATGTCAGACATCTTGTCAAACTCATCGATGCAGACGACACCTCTGTCAGCCAGAACCATAGCGCCAGCTTCCAGTCGCTTTTCACCTGCATTGGCAGAGAAGTAAAAATGAAGATTTTTGCGGTTTGAGCTCCAAAGAAACACATGGGCAGAACAAAATTCACTTGATGTAGGGCAAAAAAAAAATATTGGATATATGACCAGTACATTTTCAGAAATGTGTTAAGTGTTCTTTATAAAAACATGTTCAATTCTACAGGCATTTCAATTGGATCTGAACAGTGCCGATGGAGGAGTAAATTAATTACAATAACTTTAAAGTATATACAAAGTGACAATGCAAATTTTGCAATGTCATGTCAATGTATGTAAACAAGCACTGAGAAAAATTCAAATTTGAGGATTCAAGCCAAGTTTAGAGGACAAGGTGAAAGAAGTACCTGTTTCCTGATCAGTTGTCACAGCTGCCGTCAAACCGACGCCAGATGACCCTCGGCCAGTTGTTGGGATTGCACGAGGGGCAGTGTGCAGCACATACCTGATAAAAGACAAAGAACGCATGAGATAAAACATGAGTGTTTTGATGTTCCATTTAAATCATTGTCATCAATTTCATCTTCCTCTTCACTGGAAGCATTATACATCCCCTTTTCATGCTTCTTTTTCATATTTCTTATACTTTGCAACAAAATAGAAACCTTAAATAAAATAAAACCGGTGACGCTTAACTGCTGAATCAGCAAAGCACACTGTAGAAAATTAATGCATATCAAGGGTAAGCTTTCCCACTAACTCAATCATTTGATGAAAGGAAGGGGTATGAACAATCCCCTAAATGCATGAGACAGACGACATAAGTACAGAAAAGAGCAAAAGAATCATTAGTCTTATTACTAAAATGTTGCTTCATGTATACTAAGAGCATTTGTATACTGACCTCAACATCTGAGACTTGGCAACGGATGGATCTCCAATCAACAGGACATTAATATCTCTGAGGAAAATTTAAAATACTTCATCATACGGGAAATACTAACCTTAATACATAAACAAAGTACTCTGACAAGTCAGAAATGTATGTTGACTGAGTATATAGTCATTATTCACAGCTAAGCAAATTTTCAATTTCAAGCAAGACAAGGATGAAAATCCCATTAAAAAAACATAAGATAAGATAATACGGTAAAATACATCTTTATTGGCCAGATCCTGGCACACTGGTTTGGTGTTTCACCACGTGTATATACACACACATGAACATGCAGGCTTAAAATCACATGCATAATATAAATGAGCAGCAATATAAACAATAATAATCTTAAGCTAGAAACACACTCAATGTTAAGATTATTCTTGTTTATATACCCCCCCCCCCAATCTAGCATATGGTTACCAATACCAAAAATTGGGAACAACACTGAAAACTTACCCCCTCAGACGTGTCCCATTTGCCAGGACTTTCTCGGTTCCCCCCAACAGCATACACAACACAGCTTTCTTGATGTATTCATGTCCATGGATAGATGGCGCCAACGAACGAGACAAGACTTCAAACACATCCTAGAAAGAAGACAAAGATAGAAAAGATAATACAATATCTGTAAAGGTTTAAAACTCCATGTACCATTCGCACAATTAAACAAAAGTAAAACAAAATGACCAGATTAAAAACATTAACTAACCGCTGTACTGAGATGTGTTTCAGAAACAAAACTTACACAACTACCATGAAGAGGAAATGACACATCTCAATGATGACGGAATTTGAGACTTCAACAAAGAACCCATGGCCCCAAAAAATTATATTTTCATACAGACACATCTATTTAATTATATTGCTACAGCTTATCTTATAAGTCATATAAATGGACAAACAAAGTTAAAACTAACAAACTAAAAAGTGAAAACCTCCCCACTCAGGCAACTGTATAGTGGTCCTGTATCTATGACATTCATTAAATCTCTCTGCGTTGCTCAAACTATCAGCATGCTAATAATAAATTAATGCTGTAACTTACGTGTTTTTTGTCTTTGCCAAATTTCTTGATATTTGCGACATCCTCAGCAGAGAACATTGGTGCCACTTCTTTTGATAGCAGTGAGATGCTGTTAGCGATCATAATTGTTCTGCAAGAACGAAGATAAGGAGTTGTGGCTAAAAAGACATTCGTAAGGTTTTGATATTAGAACACAATATTTAAAAACATTGGAAGGAACAATCAATTGAAGGACTTGCAACTTTCCCAGACAAGTAAAAAAATAATTAAAGTAACAAAATACATTGATGCATTACAATGTAAACTATATACACAATATGCTTCATCCTCATATCTAACTTGCTTAAAAATATTTTTTTAAATTTGAGTTATATGACTTTATGTAATGAGCTCACTACCCCTATCAATACAGTATATTTGAATAAGTGGTCACTTTATTTATGCGTCATAGCAATGTGGGTGCCACGGAAAGTTCAAGAACTTGGCACTCATATGTAAAACCTCTCCTAAAACTTTTAATAATTCAAGAATGCCCTGTAGGGGACACCAGTTTGAATTGGCCGCACCAGCCCAGCAAAGCACCCTGTAAGAGTGCAGTCTACTCTTGTTTCAAGGGGAAGTAATACGAAATCATGCTAGCGTACCTGAACGTGCCAGTGGTGAATCCATTTTTCTTGGCAGGCAAACATCTGTACGTCCCCACCACCTGTACCCTGTCGCCGGGCTGAAAGTAAGGCACACAATAAATGTCATAAGATCAGATAAAATGTAGGTATTTATTTTATGTCCCCATCAACACAATTTAGATCATTTAGGAAGTGGCCTCCTGACGCTTCTTCCTGTCAGGGCCAACCAGAGCTTGAAATAGGTTGTGTGTAAATTTTTTTTCAAAACCCAATCCAACACTGGTACAGATAACCCAAGAAAAGAAAAAATTTGTAATCGTAAATGTTTCATATCCTCCATCGACTCAATTCAGAAAGTTAGTGGTGGGAGGCGGGCTTCAACTCTGCCAGTCCCAGGTGAAAGACAAAGATACCCCGATTAAAATTCTCTCCACGAGGATATTGAACCCAGTTCTTCTTTATGAGACAACGAAGTGCCAAGCCACTAAACCAAACATCGCTCTGAAAACGAGTGTTAGAAAGTAATCACACAAGACCTCTTAACGCATATTTTGTAACACATGGGAAAAAAAGTTTACCTTGCAGGCATCAACGAGGTCATTATCTGCGATGACATCCACTGACCTTGGCAGCTGGCCTGGTGGGGCCTTTTCCGGCATTTCCTTAAAAACAAAATCCAACAAAATTGATTAGAACTCAAAGAACACAGCAGGCAGAAGCATTGAATTTAAAAACTTATGGACAAAATCTCCATCTCGTACATCTCTCTTCCTATTGCAGAGTGACCTCTATTTCTATATGTCCTGTTTTCAGCACTTAAAGTGAATATCATTTAAAATTGCAGTGACAAGTGCAGTAATGACTTTTACACCCCACACCAGCTTTGCAAATTTAATACCTTTGGACAAGACATACAGACCTGTAAGAGACCCCCTGAAAAATTTATTGAAAATCGGAGTGTTAGTACTAAGACCCTCAAAAACATTTTTTTTTGTGACCCACCGGTAGGCAGCTATGTAAATTTTAAAAAACCCAAAAAAACAGAAGAGGGAAGCGGTCATATGTACAGGTTATTGTCTTGGACAAGTGGCCGTTAGACAAAGTTCAACAGTACTATTTATTTTTGTATAATTTCCACCAATAAGACACAAACATAAATCTGAACTTCAGTTACCTGGATACTGAAAGTTTGATGGTCCTTGTACACAGACAGCCCAAACTCAGTTTCCAGCAAATTGCCGTCCTCGTCCTGAGAAGTTAGAGCAAAGTAATTCCAAGATTACGGCTGTATCATCATTCTCAAAAACTGTGCTAAGAACAAAAAGCAGCAGCAGTTGTAAACTAACTATTAAAAAAATGAGAATTTCCATATCTAATTTTATAGGGGGAGGGGGAAATTAAAATCAAATCAAATCCCCATACTGATATACAAATCCACTTAACACAAATCAAAATTCATTCTTCGTCCACAATTTAACTCATACCACTTGTGTTTTAACACCAAGTATGTCAAAATTCTTAAGAGAGGATATTAACTGAGACAACAATACATTTTTATATACGGCTGAAACACAGTTCTTAGTGATTTTCTAGTGACACTGGGTTATCTATGGCCTTTGTAAACCATGAATCCAATTTGGTCGCCACAAAGGGGCAAATTAAGGTCTCGAAAAAATGATATATAGATATTACATGGTGTATTTCACATTTTCATATATAAACCAAAATATCATTTTACTCTTGATAAAACCAGTACTGTACACTTTGTAAAGAGATAATTTCCTTCCATCATTCTTGGCCCAATAAACACTTACTAAAATTCATGGGCCCTTGCAGTAACCCTGAAACACTCACTTTTGTAGTTTTAATCACAACTGATTAATGATTAAAAAGACAAGGAGTTGAGGAAAACCTCAGATTTCCCTCGTTGAAACACTGACCTTGGTGGGGTATACACCACTGCTGGGCTGAGCCTCAAGAGAAGTCATATCAGTGTAGCGCCTTTCTAGCGTTTTCTTTGTGACAGGACAGTAATGAACACTTCTTACAATTTTTGGCCGAATCAGAGAACCTGAAATATTAGCAGAACAAGGTCTATAATGGTATGTTACTAAAAAAACAGGATGGACGGAAAAAGTTTACAAACTGAGAAGTAATTCGAATACTTTTCCCAGGAGCATACTGAACACAAGGATAAACTTGGCTCTTTAACACCATAACAATATTCCAACTGTGATGATGTTGACCATGTTATCTTTCACTCAACAAAAAGTCTAGGGCATGGTCGAGACTTGTAAAAATAATAGCAGCCAGGAAGCTGTTCTCTATAAATATGGCATTGTTCAACTTCCACATTCCATCTGTCCCACACATATATGAAGAGCACAGGGGAAAAATGACGGTAGTCACAAACTGGAAATTGCGAGGATGCAAATTTTAAAAGCTTGTGGACTCATAAGTTCATATTTGTTTGGTGTTTATTGTTAAGTGTTGTTGAATGGTAAATCTAACAATAATCAACCAACAGTTGAACAGAAATAGTTATGAGTCAACAAGCGTTCAAAATTGGAACCCTCACGATTTTCAGTTTGTGACTACCATCATTCTCCCCTGTAATCTTCATATATACAATAGGGAAAATCTATATTAATTAAAAAATTCATGGACACTGCAAACATGTGGTACATAATCTTTTCACAAGACAATTACAACCATGCAGTCCATAATATTTTCACTACATAAACATTGCGAATGTTTGTGTGTGTGTGTGTGTGTGTATGTGCAGGTGTGGAGAAATAAAAAGCTAAAATAAATACAAGACATTTGTAGTCTCAGGCAAGAAATCAAATACTTACACTTTGTGACAATACCCTCGACGCACACCATACTCCCAAGATACTTGCTGGTCAAGGAGCGGGGTGTGTTGTGCTTATCACCAAAACTGAGGAAGAAAATTTCATCAAGGTGTTTCAACAAGTCTGAATAATTCTTATTCAACCATACTCCAGTAAAACCATGGTATAATGTACTCGGCTTAAATAAGTCCCGAGTCCAATTTGATACTTTTATTCTTTAAAAATTATGCCTAAAAATAAACCTACTTAAAATTATTTCCCCCTGTAACTTAAAAAATTCTAAGGAATTTAGAGATCAAAATTCGATTAACAACATACAATGAGAGAACAAAAAATTAACAAAAATGTTCTGATGTGCTCAGGAATGCAACCTAGCTGGTACAGTGAGAGGATGATTTGCAAGCACATTTTTCCGTCAGTGGAGGTTTGTATCTCCCCCACCCCTTCCTTTTCTTACCCCTACTCCAGATGGTACATCTATTCCAGTTTTGCTTTGTTAACAATTGATTTAATCAACTGGACCTATTCAAAGTAAAACCCCATACTTTTACTTGCTCAAATACTGACCTGCCTTCGAAGCCAATGAAGAATTCTTCATGTTGTTTGCCATACACTGGATCTGCAGATGTCACCAAGTCCTTCAGAGCACGCTGGAAACAAACCAGCTCCTCAAAGGATTCATTCAGCAACCTATCAATGAAAACAAATCTCACATAAAATGAACCTGTCACTAAAATGACATCTATCCTATACAATTAATGAAAATATGAAAGATCAACCATGAACCAGTATCAATTTAAATCAAAGTAAAAGGATGACAAACTTTTAATTTTACCATCAAACATCAAAGACATAGGGGCCTACTGAAATAACTAAGCTTTAACAAGCGATAAAATTGGTAAGACAATTTATCATAGCTACACAAAGCAATATAACATTTTCTTGCGAAACATGAAAAAATGTCTGAAATAACCTCAAATCATTTAATTTTATGAGCACTGTTCTAGTCTGTTATTTTACTGAAACCCAAATCACAGCTAATATAATAATAAAGTAGTCAAACCTTCTCTTACAGACACTTATAAACAAAGACCAGTACACTTCCACTTCCCATTTCCTCGCTTGCATAAAAAAAAATTTTTTTAAAAATAATAATAATGACAGTACTTATATCTAGGCCTACTATTGACACTGTAAGACTTCCATCAGCAATTGAAATGCCATAAAAGACCCTCTTTTCAATTTCAAAACAAATTCCAATCATTATTCAAACGGTAGGGCTTCATGTAGGCTACCTGCGGTACACCAGTAATCTAATATATATAATTACACTTACTGTACGCATCGTTTTGGATTCTTTCTTCTCAAGTCATTGATGTTGACAATGATGCGTACTTCACTGTTGGACACCATATCTCGAACTTTTTGAAGGTATATTCCCTGATCATTCTGCAAAAGGAAAAATGAAAGCAAATCATTTAGAATTTTAGAAATCCATGCATTTGTAAGTCTAAATTTTGTAGTAAAAAAACCTGTCATACAACGAAAGCGTGCGTTTCAGCGGAGTGTGCTTCTGTATGGCGTACATAAAGGCAGAGACTAGGCCTACTGACTCTCTCCCTCTCTTGCCCCTTTTCACTCCCAGTGGAGCATATATAGGCCATCAACATTTCTCCAGTGAAGCCTGCCCTGTGCATCCTTTTCTAGCTGTTTCCATGATGTCCCCGCCTTTTCCGCTTGTACCATTCGCCTCCATGTCATCTTTGGTCTTCCTTTCTTACGTTTTCCTAGTGGATTCCACGTCAAAGCCTGTCTGATGATGCTTGTCGGGGGTCACCTTAGGGTGTGGCAATCCATTTCTTCACCTATGTCTTTCTTTACTGGCCTTTGGCTTGTTCTTTCCCACAGTTGAGCATTTGTGTGACTCGATCTTACCACTTGATCTCCACTATCCTTCTTAGACATCCATTTATGAAGCTCTACAGTTTTCTAACTGCTTATCATTATGCCTCTATGCTGTGAGCCTCCATGTCTCTGAATCTGAACCATACAGTGTAGAACAGTCTTCAAGTTGTTTTGAAGATCCTCAGCTTTGCGTTCAATCCAAGTTCCTTAGATATTCCTGAGGAAGACGAATGCTGCTCTTGCCTTTTGGATTCTGACCTTGATGTCTTCGTCTGTTCCCCCTGCCTTGTTGATGACACTTCCCAGGTAGGTGAAGGATTCAACATCCGCCAATGGTGCCCTTGCAGTGTGATAGGAATGTCGGCTGCTTTCACTCGAAGAACTTTCGTTTTATCCGTGTGAATATGGAGTCCAATACTACACGGGAGAAGGTCCTGAGGCCTGAGGCGACCTGTCTTCTTTAGCATCTGGGCTTGACTGTGACTACTGTGAGAAAGAAGTGGTTAAGTCATCTGCAAAGTCCTACTGACTCTACGTGCTAGATTCTAGACTCTAGTTCTAGATCTACTCTACTACCCTGGCCCTGCCCTAATCTAAAGACTAGATCTACTGTAGTACAGGTTACTGATCTCGACATCTAGATCTAGATCTAGATCTGGTCCCAGGAAACTCTTGGTTGGGACAGTTGGCAAACCTGCTTTTGGCTGCAACTCGAATCTGAGCTGAACTGAAAATGCGATTGTGATTGAAAACGTTTTTCCCGTGTTAAATGGGAAGTAGACAACCCTTGTTTTTGTAACTCTTAATAAAGTTTTAAGTAGGAAGATCTTCAGTCTGAACCATAGGCTTGTCATCACAGTCACACGCTTAAAACTAGCAGACTACAACAGCCAGAGTGGCAGTGAGTGTAAGTGAGCAAGCCCACCGCGCCACAGCCACAAAGAAAGAGGCAGGCATGCTATCCAATTCAATATGACGGGAGTCATATACTGAATTATACTGAATATGAATGAATGGCTACTTACATCATCGTCAAGGAAATCCAAGTACTCTCTTTGTATATCTCTAAGGCGTTGGTCAATTTCAGTAGCCATTGTTCCTGGATATTTTGTTATCAACACGTTAATTTTTCGCCAGGTTGCGAAGAACGATGGCTGCTATAATAGCTATCAACAACTGAGCGCGCCAAATGTGTCACGTGACAGATTTCGCGCGAGTTGTCGGGCTCACCGAAATAAACGGAAAAATCGTTCGCCTTTTTTGTCTACTATGTGTTCTTTCCGTTTAATACGGTTATTTGTGTAGTACATAATTGCTGGCGAAAACTGAAACGCTTGCTTGGTTACATTAGAGAGTGTTTACAATAACTCTATAAAACTCTGATTACATTACATTACGTTGAGGTTTGGGGTTACCGGTTGGCCTACATAATTATGTAAGCCTGTGTTTGGATAATAGATAAATAATAATAATAATAATAATAATAATAATAATAATAATAATAATAATAATAATAATAATTAGCCCTGATGATAATGATAATAAAGATTTATTATTCTATCCCCCCCCCCACCCCACCACCTCTCATTCTCGACCTGAGCCTCAGGCCTCAGGTGTTGGTTTTTTGATCATCTTTAGGCTAGGCTATCTGTATTTGCACGAATTTGGACTTCATATATTTATATTCGTCGCAAATTAATATTTAAACAATGAATAGGCCTCTAGATTTTGAAATATTTCACGCTTATTTTTGTTGGAACTATTATATTAATTATATTCACTACTACTACTACTACTACTACTACTACTACTACTACTACTACTACTACTACTACTACTACTACTACTACTACTACTACTACTACTACTACTAATAATAGGCCTAATATAATAATAATAATAATAATAATAATAATAATAATAATAATAATAATAATAATAATAACAATAATAGTAATAATAATAATAATAACAATAATAATAATAATAATAATAATAATAATAATAATAATAATAATAATAATAATAATAATAATAATAATAATAAAATTTATACAAATAATAATAATAAAATGGGCATAACAATTGAGGAGGAATGTATTATATTGCGTCTAATCCACAGAAGACAATGATCGAAGCGCTGTACAATACAAAATATAGGCTTAATTGTCACTTAACTGACGAATCAAAAGACAGAAAATACTCAAATTGTAAGATTATTTAACAGCACACACTCTCTCTCTCTCTCTCTCTCTCTCTCTCTCTCTCTCTCTCTCTCTCTCACACACACACACACACACACACACACACACACACACACACACACACACACACACACACACACACACTCTCTCTCTCTCTCTCTCTCTCTAACACACACACAGAGACAAACAAAGAAACACAGGGGGCTCTCGTGGCCTAGAGGTTAAGGTGTTGGCCTCTCATTCAAGGGTCCCGAGTTCGAATCCGGGTAGCGACCGAAAAATTTTCTTCTCTAAACGTGTCTCCTTTCACCTCCTTTCCTGCTCTCTAGCAATGTTCTGTTGTCTGCTTTCATTTCCACTTTCTGCCCCCACTCCCTCACCTCCTTTGCCCCTCCTCTGGGCTCCTGACTCTTTCTGCAGCCTTTCTACTGCTACTCCTTGGCTCCTCCTTACTGCTGTCTTTCTGCCACACCCCTGATCTTCTGGTAGGAAAGATCTACACCTAGCCTTCTCGGACAAGGGCGAAAAATCTCGGGGGGCCCGTGTGCAAGTTGCGCACGTTAAAGATCCCTTGGTGGTCTAAAATCGATAAGAGTAGGCTTCGGCCGCCACCCGGGCAAAATTCAAAATTTCCTACCAACTGAAAATATTAGGAGTGTCCCGCGCGCTCATATGGCCTATGCAGTTGCGAGCGCCGTAAAACACTTTACAAAAACAAAACAAAAAAGAATCACATACACACCCCCCCCCCCCCCCCCCACACAAACACACAAGAGTGCGCGCACACACCCAAACACGGCTACATGTAGGCCCTGCATAATATAGGCTACCATACCCCCACCCCCAACCCCACCCCACCCCCACACACGCAACAGAAATACTCACTTTCATTTTAACATACAAAATAATTACTTTTTTTTTCACTCGTCCATCTTTCTATTTTCTCTAATTTTCACGTCGACCTGATTTGCAGTTAAACAAAAGGTTCCCCATCACACAGAGTGGTGACTGCTGGGAGGTGCGACTATTTTTATCAACTCTATGGACGCCCCAAGTATAGAAATAGAGGGATTCCAGGTACAGTGTATATCTGGGGGTTGAGGTGAGATCAGTCTGCGGACTATTCCTCATCAACACATTTGTTAGTCCACGTTTTCCTCTTGGATAGGAAGGTTGCACGGCCCATCATATTATGCCGCTCAATCGGTTGGGAGCTGAAACCCCTTCAGTGTGTTCTTGGGTTAATCTTGACGGGAGGATCTATTCCACTCTCGTGTAGAGTATAACCAAAGATACCATACCCTACTGTGTATAACTCTGGGGTAACCATGGCGCAACTCTGAATATCTGAGCATTGTGTCTCCTTCTTGGGCTCGATCGCGGTTGGGGAGTCCCGAAGTCGAACCAACCACTCTAACATTTATGGAATCAAAACCATTAAACACCCTTCCCCACCTTTCAAATACGTTCTGAAAAGTATTGGCTTGTGGAAACAGGTGCGGCCGTCGAGCCTAACAAAACATCCCACTCAGATGAACGGACCGTAATTACGGCTACCTGCCCTTTCTCCTCTCAGAGTCACAGAGAGCTTTCTGGGCGACGGCACGTGACCATGTGCAGCTCCTATGCCCAGAAAAGTATAGGCCTAACAGACCTCCCCCCCCCACCCCCACCCCCGAGACCGGAGATGCAATATGACATTTCAAGCACCAGGACGTCTCTACCAACGTGGGATACATGAGCTGTCGTAAGGTGCACTCTTTGTCAAGTGCACATCCGAAGAAGAAGTGATTGGACCTCTGAAAATCACGACCTTCGGCAATATTCCATGTGAATCCGTGTGACACGTAAGACTCAACCGTTTGCTTTCAACGACGTGATCTCAGAGTCTCTGTGGGCACACTAATTTAACCGTTTCTTATAATATATATCCGAGCCAACCCCACTATCAGCGGCGGTGGGTGGACCAAAATTTTTGTGGGACTTAGGTTCCTTCCACTTCTTTACCACCTAGTAGCAGGCAATAAGCACAAAACAGTGATTTTTCTATACTCACGACGAGCCACGGCATTTTGAGAAACATTCGAACGAGAGAGTCACCTTTGTCGTCCATCTCTTTGTTCTACGTTAAATTCTTCTGGAATGGTGGGAACGAAGCTGTTTCACCTCCAAATTTCTCGGATTCATTTTCATCTGATGAAAAAGTTGCCTCAAAAGTGGTTTGATGTAATTAATAACTGTTAAATCTCAGCGGCACACACGCAAACATGCACATACAGCACTCCAAACGCATACTGTCTATGAGCTGGATTGGGTTGTGTAGTCGCGGAAAGTAAAACACACCTACAAAGGCCTAATGGTTGCCTAGCTAATTGTGTCACTGGGGGAAAGTGTTTCGTAAACTTTCACCCCATTGTCAGGCTTTTTACAAGAGGGGTTTCATTAAGGAGGGTCCCTGGGAATGGGCTCGTCCTTTGCTGAGCCATAAAGACATTTGATTGGCTGTTAGGTTACTATAGTTGTAAGTGGAGACAACAGTGATTGGATAAACGAGCAAGCCGCCAAGTAGTTGATCACTCTGTCTCCATTGCGTGCGATCATACCAGTTTCAACTGCTTATTTCGTTATTTTCATTTGCTTTGGGATAGAGTTGGGGGTGGGAAGTGGGGCTCAAGCCCGTGAGCCCTTCACTACCCACCGCCACTGCACACTTAACTATAACTATTAACTACTGTCATTAAATGCCCACCTCATGCTGTTCCATGCACTTGACACCAGAATATTTTATTCAACACTCTTCAAGGGCGGGACGAGGGTGGGGTATTTTGCACTCTCTGTCTTTTGCTCCCTCCCTCTGTATCACAGTTATGTACACCGGGCCTATAAGCACTCTCCCTGTTCCTGTAAGTTTCACTCTGTTGCCATTTTCAAGAAGCCTCTAAGTGGAATTAATGTTGAACAACTCTTTACATTTCTACTAGATTATTTTATTTATAGTATACTTACTTACTTACTACCCATTACGCCATCTGGCGTTTAGGGCAGCAACAATGGATCTCCTGCTCTGTCTGTTTTGGGCAATCTTGGTCAGCGTCCCCCACGAATGATTCCAGGACGTCATTTCAGACTGTACTGTGCGTCTCTAGGTCACTTTGGGTCTGCCCCTTTTGCGACGTCCTTCGGGTGTCCAGTGGAGGGCAGTCTTCACAATAGAGTCTGGTTCTCTTCTCAGAACATGTCCAATCCATCTCCATCTTCTCCTTTTTATTATGGTGGCCATGTCCTCTTGCCTACATTGCCTACATCTTCGTAACAGATCTGCGTTGGAAATCTTGTCAGGCCAGAAGATTCTGAGGATTTGGCGTAAGCTGGTTGTATGAAAGGAAGATAGCCTGGCACGGTCATGATCAGTCATTCCCCATCATTCAGCTCCATATAGGAGTGTAGATAGTACACAGCTGTTATACAGCTTTAAATTGGTTTGTATACTGAACTGTCCTGACTTCCAGATGTTGATCATGCTTCTGTGTACAGATCTTGCATTGCTGAGTCTGTTCAAGATGTCTTCCTTTGTGCCGCCGTCAGTTTTGATTATGCTGCCTAGGTAGGTAAATGAGTCTGTTATAGGCAGGTCTGTGTTGTTCACTCTAATCAGCGTTGGGGAGCCTACATTCAGTGTCATCATTTCTGTCTTCTTCTTGCTTATTCTTAACCCAATCTGGCGTCCGTATCTGTGGAGTCGGTTTGTTTTTTCCTGCATGTGCTGGTTGGTATGGGAGAGTAGTGCAAGATCCTCGAGGGTGGACCCCCCCCTTATGCCTGTTGATGTATCCTCTGTTGTTTTCCTCATGACCCTGTCAATGGCCAGGTTGAACAGAATTGCTGACATGTTGCATCCTTTTCTAACTCCTGTCTTTACCTCGAAAGCAGTGGTACTGTTTCCAACAACGCACTTTAAGTTTTGGTAGAAGCTCTTGATGACCTCCACAATCTTGCAAGGGATTCCATAAGATCGTAGAATGTACCAAATACTTTCTCTATGCACACTGTCGAAAACTTTTTCAAAATGAACGAAATTGACATAAAGTTATCTTTGCCATTCCGTGCACTGTTCTATTATGTTGCGGAGGGCAAATATCTGATCTGTGCATCTTCTTTCTTGCGGAATCCTGCCTGTTCTTTTCTTAAGCAACTGTCCACATCCAATTAATAATAATCTTGGCCAGGATCTTGCTGGGAACTGATAGCAACGTGATATAATATACTGTTTGAGATTTTTCCAATTTTGATAATGACGATGATGTTGATGACGATGAATACTGATGATGACGGTGATGCCTTTAAGTATAATTACATTAAATAGGTTATGTTTTGCGAAAAAGAATGGCGATACAGCTGCATTCCGAATTACACTTCTTGCAAGGGAACTCACTCTGATTGCCCTTAAGTCTCCCGTTGCCATGAAATCAGGCGCTCGAGAAAAATTTGGTGAACTCGAAGAAAGCGATCTTTCCGATTGTTGGGCACTTTTTATCAATTTTTTTGGGGGGTTAACAACTTTTGTCTTTATTGTTAACATAGTTTTTTGTGGTAGACTTTTACCAAAAAATGTTGATCAAAGTTAAGGTACAACAAAGTAACTTTTCAGTTTCTAAGGACACCCACACTTTGTAAGTCAACAAACTTTGAATTGATGAAAGTTCCATAGCCTAGAGGCCTAGCGAGCCTTATTGAATTCTACTTCTGTCACTGCACCAGATCACCCCTAACTCCTTCAACTGTAAATAATGCGACAACTTATCTTGACGAATGGATTCTTTTACACCTAAACCCAAACAAGCAAAAGTTATCAAACTTCCAAAATACAAATGAATAATCCTTGCTTGTCCTTGCTCCTTTTGCCTTTAAATTGACCAGCACCTGAAAACGTTGCGTCGTGAATTCGTTCGTTAATGGATAATTTTACAAAATGGCGGCGTTAAATTCAAAACAAAGTACGACCAGCTCCGTGAATAGGAGAAAAGAGGCGAAAGCCGGTGTGAAAAGAGCCGTTTTAATAATCATATTGTCAACAGTTCTGGCCCTGAGTACATATGTCTGCTACAAATATGGTAAGATAATTGTTGAGGTAGGGAAAATTCAAATAGGCTAGATCTAGATCTAGATTTCTAGATCTAGAAATATAGATCTAGATCTAGATCTAAATCTAGATCTAGATCTAGAATCTAGATATAGATATCTAAAATCTAGATTCTAGATATATATCTAGATCTAGAATCTAGAGACTAGAGATCTAGAATCTAGATCTAGATTCTAGATCTAGTTTTCCTATACTATAGGCTATAGATACTCATTGGAATGGGGAGAGAGTCCTGAGCCTGGCTGGAGACTGGGGAGAGTTCTCTGTGTTATGGGTGTAGTAATATAATAGTAAGTTAGTTAACACAGCCCATTCGTTGCTAGGGGAAGGGGGTGTGCGTTCCAACACTGGTTAGTGTTAGCAGCACTGATTTTCAGCTTGATATAAAGGGCAGCATTCTTATGTCTCAGTGTTAATCAGCGGAAGTTGAGTGATCTCGATCAAGGCCAACCAGTCTACTACTTTGACGCCAGGCTCCCTGATGATCCTGAGACGCTCTGCTGCGCTCTCTCAAGATTAGATACAATAAAAACTTAAAGGTTCTAGTTCTACAACAATATAACACGGTTAGCTTGAATTCGTTTGGATCGGCCTTGGTAGTTTGAGGGACCCGTAGTTTGTTTGAGGGATATCTATAAGGTAGTGTCTCTTACCACCGAGTAGCGCGGTGGTTCTCGACGCTGAGGTCAATTGCCACCGAGTGCATTAGAGCTCTTTTGCGTTTATGAGTAGGCTTGGCTGTCTTAGTTCGTGAACTTCCGGCACACACAGCGTCTTGGCTACCGTCAGGCATGGCGTCTTTCGTTGAAGATTGAAGGGACGTTTAATTCTTTTGATGAATTCAATCAGAAATTTGTCAATTTTAAAGAAAAGAATTTTGTTGTGTTCAGAACTAAATCCTCAGAGAAGGTGGGAACAACGAATGCAAAAACCATACAACAGATCGATCCGAAATTTGTGTACAGCCGTGTACATTACGTGTGCACACACTTTGGACAGCCCAGGTACCGCGGGACCGGTGTGAGATCCAAAACAAAGTAAGTAGCGCTCTAGATTTCTAGATCTACTTTATTTTATGGTATTTTATATGCATACATAGTTATGACCCCACATTTTTGTACTTCAACCCTTCCTTTTAGATTTCTAGATCTAGATTAGGATCTATGACCCTTTAGCCTTTAAGTCTAGGTACCTTAAGTAAGGCCTTTATTCACAAATTATTGGCCTGATTATGCTGCTGAAATTTTCACTGTTGACAGTTGAACTCTTCCTGGGCCTAGATTCTACATATCTATTAGATCTAGATCTAGATCTAGATCTAGATATCTAGAATTTTAGATCTAACTTAAAACTTATTCTAGATCTAAGACTAGGACCTAGATCTATGACCCTTTGCCTTTATACTTTATTGGCCTGATTATGCTGCTGAAATTTTCACTTTTGAACTCTTCCGGGCCTAGATTTATCTAGATTAGATCTAGAGTCTAGAATTTTAGATCTAACTTAGAACTCTTCCCAGGTGTTAAGTACTGCCAGATTTTCCCTTCAACCCTTCCCAGGCTTCCAAGTGAAACTGGATATTTCAGTCCATGTGGTCGCGCCCTGGTACATTTACTCTAGTCATGCTGCTAAAATTTTAGAGTGACCCTTTCGAAGCCTAGTTATGACGCCAATTTTTTAAACTCTGACCCTCCTTAGGCTGCCGAAATTTCTACTATGACCCTTACCGGGCCCGATTATGCTGCACAAATGTTCACTTTTTGACTCTTCCCGGGCCTAGATATTTAGAATCTAATTGTGCTCCCAAAATGTAACATTGTTATTCCTTTCTTCCACGATGTCGAAATGTTTACTCTTGACACTTCCCACGCCTGGTTATGCTACCAAAATTTTTTACTCTGACCCTGGCCCTTTCCTAGCCTAATAGTGTCATCGTGGTGCTAAGAATTTTTGCTGTGGCACTTTTTAGGTCTAGTTATGGCTGAAAACATTTTTACGGCATAGTCATGCTGCCGAAATTTCTAGAGTGGCCCTTTCCATGGGGTTATGACGCCAAATTTGTCTAACTTTGACACTTCTTGGGCCTAGTTGTGCTGCTGAAATTTCTACTATGATGACCCTTTCCAGGCCTGATTAACTGCAGAAATTTTCACTTTTTGACTCTTCCCGAGCCTAATTGTGCTCCCAAAATGTATACATTGTTATTCCTTTCTTCCACATCTAGTCATGATGTCGAAATGTTTACTCTTGACACTTCCCAGGCCTGGTTATGCTCCAAAATTGTTTACTCTGGTCCTTTCAAGCCTAATACTAATAGTGTTATGGTGGTGATTAGTGTTACCGAGATTTTTTGCTGTGGCACTTTTTTTGGCTGACACATTTTTACTTTTGACTCTTCCCAAACGTTAAGTACCCGGTACTGCCAAATTTTTTCCTTCGACACTTCCCAGTCCCCCAGGCTTTGTTCTGCTCTTGAAATTTTTACCTTGACCCTTTCCAAGCCTAGTTAGTTATGACGCCAAATTTTTAAACTTTGACCCTTTCCAGCATAGTAATGCTGCCGAAATTTTCTACTTTGACGGTGACGTACTTTCCAGACTTTATACAAAATTTTAATTTCTTCCCCAATTGTGCTGTTTCAGACACTCAGCAACAGGATGCAAGGCATCATTTGTACTAAAGTACAATTATTATGAAAAGCATCTGCATATTGCAAATGCTCACATGGATCACAACCATCCAACGACACCTGAAACTGTTGCACAGGAGCACCAAGTCAAGCGACTTGCACCAGCTCAGCTAAAGACTTTGGAGGTATGATGTTTGACACAGAACCATAATGATTTGTTGGTGTTTGCACCTTATTGTCGTATTACCTACTGACTTTTCTTTAGATTTTCCCCCCATAAATCACTAATTTAACCTTCCCAGTAACAGTGCGTCGATATTTACAAGCAACTGGTGCACGATGACTGAAATATAGATGAAGCCTTTGATTTAGTGAAATGCGGCGTACCTCATTTTGGGGTTTTATTTGTTTGAGAGGGGAAAACAAAATCCTGATGTTCCATGAGTATGTGACCTGCAACATGATAAGACAGCTGTTGTAAATAAATGTTCCGGTATTTCCGACATATGTGGTCTCTGCGAGCTCGCGCGCACGCATATATATATAGATTTT